TGAGTGAGACCATGAATTCGAAAAACTTCATGTGTGATTTCAGGAATCATCCCTGTTCACAGGTGCTCTGTAAGGATTCTTCCGCCGTTTACAAGAGATGGTTCATGATGCAGCCGTAGTTCTTGTCATTAGTGGGGATTAATCCTTCGTGTGTGCTGTAAATTGCATTCCCTTACTTTTGCCTTATTTGATTCCCCCATTAGTGGTGATCTCCCGGAGGTCATTAAACTAGTAAATAGCAGCCCCTTTCAAAACAAGGTGCAAACAATGCCCCTTAGATCTTAAGATTTTTTTTTTTTTTCCTAAGTAAACTCTAGGCCCAATGGTCCAATGTGAGGCTTGAACTCACCACCGGGAGATCAAGAGTCACACGCTCTACCAACTGAGCCAGCCAGGCGCTCGGTGTAGTTGAAGTTCTTTATTTCTACTTGCTGCCTTCTCCTATTTTTTTTCCCCTGAGTGGCTGTGGATAACCACAGCAAGAATACTGCTCTTTATATATATAGATTTCCATTTAAGATTAGTTTTCTTGACTATTGTAGGACTCTTATAGATAATATCAGAAAGAAGTGAAACTGATTGAAATCTTCATTACTTTCATTAAGGGCCCATCTTGTTAGCTTTATGGGATGAATATGATAAAGCCATGAATTGTTCACAGAAGGGAAAAAAAGGACTCAGGCCGTCTTCTCTCCATATATGCTTTTTTTTTAAACTTTTTTTTTTCTTTAAATTATAAGTAGGTTCCACTCCCAACATGGGGCTTGAACTCACGACCCTGAGATCAAGAGTCGCCTGAGCCAGCCTGGCCTCCCTTGTACGCCTTGTTTGGACAGGAGTTCCACAATACAGGTACATCCCCCCCCCCCCCATATGTATCCTAAGTTCTCAGTCTTTCTATATATTAGTATCATATCCGTATTACTGTACTGTTTTTATTTTTTTTTTCAACGTTTACTTATTTTTGGGACAGAGAGAGACAGAGCATGAACAGGGGAGGGGCACAGAGAGAGGGAGACACAGAATCGGAAACAGGCTCCAGTTTCTGAGCCATCAGCCCAAGCCCGACGCGGGGCTCGAACTCACGGACCGCGAGATCGTGACCTGGCTGAAGTCGGACGCTTAACCGACTGCGCCACCCAGGCGCCCCTGTAGTTTTTATTTTTTTTTTTTTTAATCTTGTGCAAGAAGACCTTTTAGAAAAGCTCCCTTCACCCAAATTTGGTTTTCTTGAACAGCTCAACCGGTTGAAGAATCTCCTGCGCCCCCCTGAGTTGCAACAGGCTCGCGGCCACGGTGGAGAAGCCTCGCAGCGCCCCAGATGGGGAGCAGCCGCGGTGGGACAGGCGCTGGAGCTTGCGACCGTCCAGCGGGCTCCGAACGAGTCCCCTTCCGGGTCCGCTCGGGACGCGGGGGAGGAGCGCGGGCGCGGATCCCCGCTCTTCCCAGAGCGCGCGCGCCCCCTGGCGGCCTGAGCTCCGGGAGGGCCGAGGAATCCGCAGGGAAGCGGAGTCATCCCGGTCCCAGAGCCGGAGGCCCTGGCAGCTGCGAGGCCGCCCTATCAAAAACACACCCGGGCGTCCCAGCGCCAACCGCCGCCCCCCCCCCCACGCCTTCTCGGCGGCACTGCCCGCTCGCGCCACGTCCCCGTGTTCCTCCCCCCCCTCCCCGGGTTTGCTCGAGGGGTGAGTCTCGGCGTCGCAGGCGCGGTGGCCTCGTCGGCACCGGGTGGGGGACGGGGGCCTCCTGGCCCGCCCCCTCCCCGACCTGGGAGCCTGGCGGGCGGCTCGCAGCCCCGGGCCTGCATTTCAGAGAGCAGCCGAGCTCCCCTCTTCGCCCCGGATGCCTGGCGCGCAGGCCCGCGGCGGGCGTCAGTGCTGGGGGGCCGGACCCGGCGAGGGGAAGAACTTGTAATCGCTTGCCGCGGGACAATGCCGACTTTTGAACCTCTAACCACTAAGCAAACAACCCTTGTGCTCTCGCGGCACTGTCCAAACAGGGTTTATTGACAGGCGTTTCACAGCAACGCATAGCAACCGCGGCGGCGGCGGCGGGGGGCGGGTGGGCGCGGCCGGGTGCGGGTCCGCGCCCCCCTCCCCGCGGCCCCACTCCGCAGGAGGCGCCGGGGGAGGGGGCTACCCGCGGCTACCGCGCCACCCCCCCCCCCCCCCCCCCCCCCCCCCCGGCTCAAAGGACCCCGTAGCCCGAGAGGCGGGCCGGGCTCTCTCCCTGCGGCTTCGAGCCGGGCGCCCGCGGGCCCGGCCGCCAGCGCCCCTTTCTCAATCCCCGAGCGAGTGGAATGCCACCCGGAAGGGCCGCGGAACCCGGGAGATGCTGCAGGCGGTATTTAGGTCTCGCCGCTCAGCTTTTCCTCCGCAGCCCTCGGGGCACCTCCTCCCTCGGCGGAGGGCCGCGATGAGGACCCGAAGGTGCCTGTGGGAAGACCGAAATCGAGAGCGAGGCCGTTCTCCCCAGGCCCTGCTCGGGGGCTTCCAGGACCCAAAAACCTCAGGGACAGCAGCCCGGTCCCCAGCGGGTCGGCCAGATAACAAGCAACCACTACCGAAAGGCTCTCCTTATACTGGTTCTTGAATTCTTTGTGGGGTAGGTGGGGGGGGGGGAGGGGGGAGGATTTCGCGAGAAAGGACAAGGGGTGGAGACAGGGCTCACAGAAATGCCCAGTGATTCACAGAAGACTATATTCATGGAAACGTTGCCCTGGGAGTGCAGAAAGTAAAGCCTTTTTACTTAATGCTTATGTTTAGCTGGATTGTGGGGCATCCCTGGGGTGAAGGGAATCACTGATGCAGGGAGTGTTGGTAACTGCGTCAGTGCAGATTTGAGGAGATGGTCTGAAGGGACGCTTACCCCCACCCCCCATAATTCCTGGCCGCTGGGAAGCAGCTGACCATTCAGATGTGCATTTTGCCCAAAGGCACCCCCAGGAGAACCACACATTCCACAATCCAAGGCTGGGCTCAGGCTTGGGGGCAGGGAAGGTCTCAAAACCTGCTCCCTCAGGCTTCTGATGCTCTGGGGTAAAATGAGGTTGTTCAGATAACCTTCTCCACTCCCTGTCCGAGTTTTCCAACACGAGGTTGCAAGTAGACAAGATATTTCATTTCTTAAAAAAAAAAATAATAATAATAATAATAATTCCAGACAAAATCTGAAGACGATAAATACAGAATCTGAAATCTGGAAAGCTCATTTATCTCTCTCTCTTTTTCTTTTTAGAAAAAATTCAACTGTGTTCAAATACCCCCCACTTCCCTTCACCATACCACTTCTCTCCCCGTGGATCCAGAAGGCTTTTGAAATGCTGGCTTGGATGTTACCCAGACCAACAACCCAAACAGCAGCAACGACAACAAAAACCCCTTCTTCATCAGCCCCAAGATTGTGAAAATGACAGGAAGTCCAGCTTGGCTCTGGCATTTATAGCACTGACATACATTTAGCCCAGAGAAGCTCTGGTGACAGGCTTTCTAAACAAGGCCCTGTCCTGGGCCCTCTTGTCAGGCCTGGAGTCCAATAACCACGCCTCTCACACCATCCACTGGGCGCACACATCGGTCAAGCCTTTCCTGGTCTGGGAAGGGAAGAGAAGAAAGACAAGACCTGGGGGTTCTGCAGTCTTTGGTAGGTCCAGGTTCCTATCTTAGCCGCCTGTGACTTCCGCAGTCACAGAATCTTGCCTGCCCTTGAGCAGGAGGGCCCAGCGGGCCCTCTGATGGCAGTGAGTAGGCGGCAGCCATCTTGGCTCGAGCATTGGTGTTCCCCTGAGTCTTCTCTCCCCTCAACCAGAGGTGCCTCCTGCAGATTTGGGAAGCCAAGAGCTGGGGAGGTGGGGGCTGGAAGCCCGGTCTGTTTAGCCAGTCCAGGCAATGCTTCCCTTGCGGGACGAGATGAAGCCTCAGTGATCCTATTCCATCTTCTTGCTGGCAGAAAGTCAGACCAGAAAAAGTCAAAATCTGGGAGAATGTCTTCCTTGAGGCCTCCAACCCAACCCCCCCCCCCTTGTCCTTACTCCTGGCCCCCATTCTTCCTCTAGGTCAATTGGTGTACATTTGTGGAGGGGAGG